CAAAATGGCACAGTGGGACATGGGCTGCATTCTGTTTGTCTCAGGAAGTCACTGGTCACAAGGTAGGGAGGAGGGAGGGAGACTTCACCTCTTGATAAAAGGAATAGCAAAGGGTCATTGCAAAAGGCCCGTGGGATGGGAGAAACTTCTGCAGTCAGCACTGGAAAGAATCTTCTGCACTCTTCCAACATAGCACTACTAAAAATACTGACAGCAGAAAGGTTAATTCAAGAGAAAATAAAAGAATTGAAGCATCTTTAAACAATGACCTCATTCCTTATTTTACTAATTGTTATTCTCTCTTTTGATCTCTGGTCTAAGTTTGGTCTTGAGCCGCTTCAACCTTTGAAACCTACAACAGAAACTACTGTGATGACCTGGAATTGCAGTTGCAAGAAAATTTTGTGTTTTGTAGTTTATGTATTGGGAAGGGCCAGAGAAATATTTTGATGAGTTGGAAGAAAAAGAAACTTAACAACTTCAAAGTAAATGTTCTCGGGGATAAACATCTACTGGGTTGGACTGGAAAAGATTTTCTTAGTTTTTCCATTTGTGAAAATTGCCAACCTAAGACACAAAAAGGAAGAGGTGCTGTATCAACTGTTCATATAGTGCAACTGGGAGGAAATGAAATAAGTTCTGAAAAAAAATTTTTTAATTTATTTTTAAAGATTATTTATTTATTTGTCAGAGAGAGAGAGAGAGAGAGAGCACAAGCAGAGGGAGAAGTAGGCAGAGGGAGAAGCAAGCGGGCCCCCCGCCAAACAGGGAGCCCGATGAGGGACTTGATCCCAGGACCCCGGGACCATGACCCAAGCCAAAGGCAGACACTTAACAGACTGAACCACCCAGGCGTCCCACAAGTTCTGAAATTTATATGTGAATACGACAGTTTTTCTCATTTAAATACAAAGTATATGGCAATGGACTAAGAGGTGAGTTGAATAGAAATAAGGAGACAGAAATATTTCTAACTTTTATTAAAATAAGCTAAAGAACACATTCAGGTTAAGTTATATATACAAATATAAGATCACCAAAGTATTGAAGCCCATATTTAGGTTTTATAAATATCTGAAGCTAAATTTTAAAAATATTGTGTATATTTAACATAATAATAACTAAAACTGCTTTGTAGTGAATTGTTTTTATAGTATAAGTTGCTGTTATGCTAATTATTGTGTTAATTAATATTACAGCTACAGTTTCATGTGATTTGTAATAGACCTGCTTCTATACTAATATATTCTAAAATCCTAAGTAGACACAACATCTTCAATGTGACAGTATTGAGAGACATAGTCAGTGACAAGTGTTCCCAACAGAAAAGAAAATTTTAACTTTAATAAATACAAGTTGTTTCTACTCCTATTAAGTAGGATAACCAATTCTCAGCTTGAGTAGATTACAGGTTAAATATAAAGTAGACTGAAACTGAGTCTCTGCTACTCAAATATAAAACGAGTATAATTCAGATATATTTGTAGAATTCCCTTAAGTTACCATTTACTGAAAGCATTCAAAGTTTTGTTGAAGTTAGAAATGTCCTCAATGTTCTTTGCCTTAATGGATATCTTAAATTAGTGTTTCACAGCATATGTGTCATTTCCCAGCTAATTAGAGTTAGATTAAAACTTCAAAGAATGATTACATATTACTCTGCATTTTAAAAGCACACCTGTTTTATTTACATTAAAATTTAATTTAGTGACAATTAGCTTTAAAATCCACTTTAGTTTATAAAATTTGTAAATTTATAAAATTGAACCTCCACTAGACAGTTGTCTGCAAACTACTATTGAAGTGATAGGACTAGGAAGGAGTGGTTGTGTGTGTGTTTGTGTGAGTGTGAAAGCAAGCAATCAAGGGAGAGATGAGAGACAGGGAGGGAGAGAGAGAGAGATCCATCTAGCCCCTGGTTAGATCATAAAACCCAAAATCTATCTTGCTGTTGTTAATGAGAAACAATCTCTGGAAAGCCTCTTCTAATGGGAGTAACGTCCAGCACAGAAATGCCATGTGTTTTGGAGAATCACAGAAGTCCACAGCTGAATGGGAGCCCTAGAAAACACCTAACTTATCTCTTCTACTTTTCAAATGAGAAAATGAAGGCATAGAACAGTTACACATTGTGACAAGGCTACACGGAGAATTGTAAGCCAGTCAAGAACCTGGTGTCCTAACGCCCAGACCAAATACTAAGTCTATTATTCCTTAACCTACCACTCATACTTTGTCTTCTACCAGAACAAGAATGAAGTTGTTGAGTTCATGATTTTAGTAGAAAACAAACACCCACACTCATACACACTTACATACACTTCCCCCAAAACATTACCTTATTATTGTATGGCATTTTTTTCTTTGTCTTAATTGCATGCATCACAAATTTTTATGTAATGCATACATATGCATTATAAATCAGAATCTGTGATTCAGCTAATATCTTATACTGACTCCCCAGTTTTTTCAAGATTTTAAGGTTTGTGCAGTTGTAGGATCATTCCTCTTCTGGTAGTTTGGTAGTATGTTTTAATGAACAAAAAGAGATTTTTGGTCTTTTCGCTGTTGTTGTTGTTGTATTGTTTTTTTTGTTTTGTTTTGAGAATTCTGTGCCATTCAGGTTGTTCCAAAACCAGGAATGGAAGTCATTGGTGGTGACAAATGATTAAGAAAATATCATCTTTTTGAAAAACTATAATTCTATGACAAGTAAGCTAAAGAGCCGTAAGAAATCTTCAGAGTCGAGAATTTTCAAAATAACATTAATTTTCTTAGGTCTTAGAGTTGGGAGATCTGCAAGAGCAATGAGGAGCAGTGATATGGCTGACTGAGAAGGGGGATAATCTGCTCTCTGCTCATCTCTTTCTTTCCTGTTCGAGAACTTTCTTTGCACCCCTTCTTCAATTATCTCCCTAAGCCAAAGCAGGAAAAGCCTCCTGAATACAACTTTTTAATCATTCAGTCTAGTTAAAATAATCTTCAAAAAGTGAACCCATGAGGCACCTGGATGGCTCAGTCGGTTAAGCACCTGCCTTCGGCTCAGGTCATGATCCTGGGGTCCTGGGATTGAGCCCCGCATCGGGCACCCTGCTCAGCGGGGAGCCTGGTTCTCCTTCTCCCTCTGCTGCTCCCCCTGTTTGTGCTCTCTCCCTCTCCCAAATAAATAAAATCTTAAAAACAAAGTGGCCCCCTTGAAGGGCTTTGTGGTTGGGGGCAAATGGAATAAGTGCATCCAAATATCACTAGGACTGAAAGGGAGTTCAAAGGCAGAGTCCCAGCAAATAGCCTTCCAGGGCTGATAAAGGTCTAATGAAACGTCCTTTTCTGTGGTGTTATTTCCTTCTTCCCTGAAGCAGCAGCAGAAGCACAAAGAACTAAAGTCTACATTTTCGGTTCTCTATAAAGTGCTCTAAAAACGAAACAAAAAAAACAAAACGAACTGCTTGGAGATTCTCAGGTACAATGTGGTAGGTCTGGGGAAATCAGGGTGTGAAGAGATCACGCCCGGGGCGGAGAGAAGGGGTGCATTCAGGTGGTGCCGCTTACCACGATGGCGCAGTATTTGGATGGCAGCAGGAAAGAGCTGTATATAATAAATTTAAAAGCTTGGAAGCTGGCACGGGTGAGACAAGTCACAGGTGAGCCAGAAACCTTACTAGGATGTAAAGGAAACACGTGGTTACAGAAATGTGTGGGCTTCTGTGAAGAGCCTGATAGGGTTCACAGAAGTCAGTACTTAATTTGGGCACTGGATGTTCCAGCGCAGCTGTCTTCCGTGCGGCTGAGAAACGCAAGGGAGTTTGTGTGCAGCTCCGAAGTGAGAAACAGGTACTTCAAACAGAGTAGAGTTGCAGGTTGAGGTCTGTGGGCTTGTGTGGTTCAGAGGCCGGTTGCCCAGGGAAAGGGCCAATGTGCAAGTGTTAACTCAGACGATTTTCTTCATGGTAAAAGGACTGCAGCAGAGCATTTTCCTAAAGCATTAGATGCTTTCTCCCCCTGCCGCCCCGCCCACCCCGTGATCTCTAAATGATGGATTTGTCTATGGAAAAAAAAATTGAGAGAGAAAAATGCCAGTTTGCGTTAGTCTTAAATGTAAGCAAAAGTAAGGAAAGACAGTCACCCTATCAACCCTTGCCAAAAAGTCCATTGCTGTCTGAAGCATGATTATAAGCAAAATGGGAAGTGGAGTTGTGTGCTGTATTCTGAATTTCTGCGTGTGCGTGTGTGTGTTATGTAGATACGCAGGAGAGCTGGAGCAGGAGGAGTAGCCTGGCGATGAGAAGGCTTACCTGGTAAAAACACTGTGAAAGTTAAAAAGAAATGTTTCAGCAGAGTTGCCTTTTATCTTTTATTTCTCATTTTCCTTGTTCCTGTGGCCTCATTTAATTAAAAATGCAAGAAACCTACAAATCTGAAGAGGCACATTCTTGATGATAAGATGACAAGAAGACCACCTTAGAAGCTTATAGTCACACTAAGCGTGTTAAATGGCCAAATAAGCCCACTTAGAACATCCTTCCAGTGAGCAGGAAACTATTGTTGAGATACCGTAATTTCTAAGAGATGCTCCTCCCAAATAACTGAAGATTCTCTAGAAGGTTCCATGGCCATGTTTATAGGTGCAATAAACTTTTAGAGGTGAACAGAAGATGGTACTGTGTTTTCCTAAAAACAATTTATGCTTGGTGTAGGTGGGAGATACCTGGTGTTTCTTGGAATTACGTGTATTTGCAAAATTTAACAACGTTCGGGTAAGCATGCCAGACCCAGGAGCAGAAAAGAGTTAATGCAATAATCTTAATATTTATTGAAACATCACTATTTTGTGCCTTTATGCCAGACAGCGATAGACAACCCCATATTATTTTACATGAGTTCCTTGCTAGCAAACGAAAAGCCCTTTAAACAGACTGCATCATTCTTCCATGTCTAGGATAAAAGGCATCTACTATGTTGTTTCAAAACTTTTAATTATAAACATATATATATATATATATATATAGATGGGTACATATGTGTGTATGTAGGTGTATCTGTCAGGTTTACTCGAGAAAATATCCCAATGTAAACTGGGGTCACCTATTGGGTGGTGTTTTGTTTGTTTGCTTCTTTTTTTTGGTAGGAGACACAAAGAAGGTAACTGAAAAATAATCTTTTTGCTGTTGGAAGCATTTACAAACCTGATCTTGATACACAAGTTTAGGGCTGCACAAGTTCACAGAGGCTATGGATTCAAATGTTTGGAAGTGTATTGACCTTGAACCAAATATTTAGGACATACACCCAACAGGATACATCTAGGCACTGAGGTGATCAAGCCAGGAAAAAGAAAAAGAAACCACGATGTTCTAAAGGACAGCATTAGAGTCAGCAGTCAATTATCACAGGGTATTATGTCCTGAGGATGGTAATTCCTCGTAGTTCCTTATTTGCCATGTAAATGTATGGAATTTTCTCTGGCTTGCTTTAAAATTGGAATCATCGATGTCTCATGAGACAGAGAAAGTAGAGTCTTCCCTGGAATCGAGGGATAAACCTACATGACATTTCCAGGTTCCCTTCCTACACCAATATAAAATCCAGCATTACTCAACAGACCTGGTTACAATAAGTATGAATTAAAATGCAGAAACATAATGTCATTCCTTACACAAACAGTTGGGCAAGCTATTTGGTAATGCTCTAAGACATTATGTAGTCAGGTAAACCAAAATGACATATGTAACTCTTTTCTAAAAATCAACGTACAAGCCCACAAATTCTCTAAATTGCCTCTGGAAGGGCTGCTCTGATGAAATGGAAAATGTCTCCTCCATATGTGCAGTTTCAGACTCTCTAACATTTAAAGAAAATGTTCTAAAAGATAAAGTTGGCATGTAAAAAGCATGGGCAGAGGAATCAGTAATGATCAGAGCAAAACAATTCTAGAAGGCATCTTAATTTTCATATGGCTCATTTGCATTTGAAACACTGAGAATCCCTATCTCTCTTGTACAAAAATGTGTACATATTAAATTACTTTCCACTTGAAAGAACATTTTCCTAAATGTTTGGAAGATGATCAAATTTTAACTGGAGGACTTGTTTTCTTCCATCAGGTGTGGGGGAGATGTGGCTTCCTGGTATGAGAGGCAACAGTTGATTCTAATAGCAGAACAAGACAAAAATAAGAAAGTAAATGGAAAAGAACTCCTATTTGTATAGTTTGATTTAATGATGGTAAAACAAAAAGGATACATATGATACAAAGATGTCAGAAGAGATCAATTAAAAAATCAAACAGGGTTACCTTTCCTAAAATTGTGATATTCTGATACTTGAAAATTAGGTTCTATTACTTATTCTAGGATTCTCATGGATATAGTTGATTTATTTCAGAATGTTCATTTCTGAGTATCTAGTCAGTGTTTAAAAGCTAGATACCACCAGCTATTAGACAATAATTTCTGAGCATCTACATTCTACCTATCTTAAATTATTAATTTTAGGATATTTGGCAAAACAGTAAAGATTTAATACCTCTTTACTAACAATACTAAACAATATTTAGTGTTAAGGAAATTGTTGGATTACTCACTCAGAGATCTAGAAGTTGGTATCCAGGGGGGAATTTGAACTCACAAAGTGAAAGCACATTGGATGAAAAGATCTTTTTGAATTTTTAGTTTATTTTCTGATAACGGTAAGACGTTTAGGGAAGAGGCCCATGTTTTGAAAGAAAACCAGAACCTGAAAGACATCCCTGCCTTCCTCTTGGCCTTGCTGTCCAGAGAGTTCACCTGGTGGCGGGAGAGGGTTAGGCATGGTCTCAGTGGCGGGGGCTCTAGTAAGTCTTCCTCATGAAGTGCGGACAGGATGCAGTTGACTAAGGACAGAGAACATGACCTAAGTTCTGCAAATGAGATTATTTAGGTCTATGCTGCTCTTTGTGCTCCTTTTCCTTTTGGAGAAATAAAGTCCCTGAACTGTATCAGCTGGGCTACCGGGTATTAAGGAATGGGGAACACAGCTGTGTAAGTCTCCAGACTTACAGGAAGGGCAGCATTCTCCACCCCACCCTCCAGGCCAGGCCGGGAGAACGGCCATTAGGAACCCAGGGGCCAGGAAGGGGCGGTGCTGCGGTTCACCTTCCCAGGCCAAGCGCGGGGAATCTGGTGAGATGTTTCCAAGGGGACAGTGTTTTTACACACAACGCACCCTGCATTTCGAACAGCTGGCTCAGACTTACTTGAGCAAACCCTAATCTTTTGGTTAAGCAGAGTGCTTTGGGTTTGACCTGCAAACACATAATTTAAAACAGTAGAAGATAAAATGGTCTATGTAGTAAACATTTGAAAATCATCTTAACATGTCATCTTATTAATTTGATCTTTCTCAATAAACTTTGATCTTAATGATCAAAAGGTTGAAAAATAAACCCCTGCTTTCTTCCTTTATGGTAGACATGCTAAGAAGAAGATAAATGACCAATAAGTAGATCCAAGGTGGACCCTGAAGCAAACAGAATGGGATGATTGTTCGTCTGCTAACTCGAAAGTTACATTTTTTTTTTTATTAATAAGCGGCATTCAGCTATTTATTTGGATAATATTTACCGAGTACCTTCTATAGGTCAGACACTGTTTTAGGTGCTGGGACACAAGATAAAAAATAACACCCAAACCAAAACAAATCTACTTCCATGGGGTTTATGTTTTCATTTCAAAGTTTTTCTGAAACCAAGTAAAGCAATAGTAAACCGAGAAACTGCAGAATTAAGGCTTGTCATATTCATCATGTTGTTCTATGATATTGATATTGGCTACATTTTAGGATAGGATTTGGTTCTCAGGCCTTTGAGTTTCATCTCTTAGTATCTGCCAGAGCTTGTCCTTGGTTTTTGAAGAAAAGCCTAGGGAAGGCAGGCTTAGGTGCCTGCCATCAGTAAGAAGAAGGGAAGAGTTGAGTTTTCTTTATGGTGTGTCTGGAGGCGACAGAGGGTCCTGGAATTCCTTGGTAACATTCAAACTCAGTCCTGCTGTTTTTGGGGGTTTTATTGTACGAAGTTGCTGTATTTTGCGTCTGTGATCTGGAAGGTGAACTATCCAATCAGCATAGCAAAAAGTTGAGCAATACTTTGATTCAAGTATATTTGGAATAAGATTTTGCAACAAATTAGTATATTTTCATAGTTTTTATGGTTTTATTACATCAATCACCAAAATTTATTAAGATAAACAAATACAACTAAACCAGTGCAAAGAAAGGTCTTGGTGTCCACCTAGTCTCACGCTGAAAGGCAGAAAAAGAAAAAAAAAATCATTTTTATAGCGCTTTAACTTTTGAACAGAGGTACCTGCTGGCGTCTTCTGTTTCTTCCTTCAGTACGTGCTTTTCTTTTAATTTGGTCTTCATGAAAAGAATCAAAGTAGGGGCTCTCCAGGAGTTGGGCACAGGTTAATCTGTCATCAGGATTCATCTTTAGACACTCCTTTGGAAAAAAATAAAGTGTGAAAAGAGCGGCCTATTTTGTTACTATGACCTGAAACTGAATAACTTATTAGAGCAAATATGAGCTTAGAAAATTTTCAGGTTTGGGGCACCTGGGTGGCTCAGTGGGTTAAGCCTCTGCCATCGGCTCAGGTCATGATCTCAGGGTCTTGGGATTGAGCCCCGCATTGGGCTCTCTGCCCAGCAGGGAGCCTGCTTCCCCCTCTCTCTGCCTGCTTCTTTGCCTTCTTGTGATCTCTGTCTGTCAAATAAATAAATAAAATCTTTAAAAAAAAGAAAATTTTCAGGTTTGTATATTATCAAGTACTTGAAACTCATTAATAACTAGAATTACTTTTTTTGTTTTTGCCATTCAAAGTCTTGAGGGTGGAATTGAACATTCAATGTCTCTGGAAGGAGGCTACAAGTACAGCAGGTGTTTCTTTCCTTTTTTTTTCTTCAAAGACTTTGTCAGAGAGAAAGAGATACAGAGCACAAGCAGGGGGAGTGGTGGGCAGAGGCAGAAGGAGAAAATGACTCCCTGCTGAGCACGGAGCCTGATATGGGATGTGATCCGGGGACCCTGAGATCATGACCTGAGCCAAAGGCAGATGCTTAACTGAGCCACCCAGGCATCCCATATATCAGGTGTTTTTACCAATGACATCTTTTCACTACTTGTCAAAGCAAATAGTTTGTGGGATACGTTAAGTGTGATACTGGGTGTGATCCCAGGACCAGCCGCATTAGCATTCCGGAGCAACTTCTTGTAAATGCAGTTCCTGCTCCATCAAAAGCACTGGGGTGGGAGTCCACCAGTCTGCATTTGATAAGCTCTCTGGGTGATTCTGATACCTGCTCAAGTTTGAGAACCACCGGTTTAGGGAGATGGCTAAAGTATCTGTCTTTAAAGTCTTCATAATCGGGGTGCCTGGGTGGCTCAGTGAGTTAAGCCTCTGCCTTCGGCTCAGGTCATGATCTCAGGGTCCTGGGATCAAGTCCCGCATCAGGCTCTCTGCTCAGTGGGGAGCCTGCTTCCTCCTCTCTCTGTCTGCCTGCCTCTCTGCCTACTTGTAATCTTTGTCTAATAAATACATAAAACCTTTTAAAAAATTAAAAAAATAAAGTCTTTGTAATGCAACAAATCTAAAACCTGGATAATTGGTATATATATTTATGTAAGAATAACTAGAGGCAAAAAGGAAAAGGTAGCATCATGACCCTTTATATTAGAGACTACTACAAGCCTCTAGCTTTGCCTCCAAGAGAGGGGAGGACTCTGGCAGCAGCAGGGTTGGTGGAATCCTGTCGCAGAGATTTTCTTCAAGAAGCCCTGATACTCTTTGGCCCGAGAATGGGGCTTTTCCCATGGAGAAAGATCGTGATCCCTAAGGAATTAGAACCGCCTTAGAACATCGAGGCACAGGAGCCCTGAAATTTCTTGCCTTATGACCATAATAGAGAATTAACACTTATCAACATAACAGACTTATTTTTGAGGCATTTGGGTGTCCAGATAATTATGCTGACTGTGGCTGCCCCAGCAGGGGCTGCCCTGTGGTGTCTGTGCCTCCCTAGCCCCAGCTGACAGGTCTCTGAGACCCTTGCGAATGCCACCACCCCTACAGTCTCACCTGCCCCTTAGAGCCATGTCTGATTGGACCCGATTTTAGGAAACAGTCCTGCTCGGCATACTCAAGTTCACTTGTCCCTCCAGAGCTGCCACCTGCTCCAAGCAGGTCCCACCCACGCCCATGTTGATGATCCCTACCAGAATTAAGTATAACTGCTACTGGGGTCTGTCTCCTCAAACCCTAACACTGTCGGGACTATAACCAGCACAGAGAGACTGATATTCAAAGATTCTGAGTATAAACTGTGGTAGTCTATTTCTTCATCACTCTGTTCTGGCTTTTGCCTCCATCATTCCATTTAAGTGACTTCTGTTATTCATACATCTAGTGGGTAGATCATGTTCTCATCTCCACAATGTTAGACACTACTGACCACATCCTCCTCCTTGAATCTCCCTTTGGCTTCTTGATGCCTCCCTTTCCTTCTTCTTACCTCGTGACCACCCCTTCTCAAACCAGCCTGTGTTAGTTTACCTTCTTCTTTACAGTGGGTGGGTGGGACTCCTCCAGGCTCAGTCCTAGGTTCTCCTTTCTCCCTTCTGTTTCCAGATAATCTCACTGATTCTTAAGTCTTCAATTACTAAGGTTTATCAGAGACTTCCATATGTATATTTCTAGTCCAGACCTCTCCTTTGAACTCCAGACCCACATATGCTGTGGCCTACTTAACACTTCTATCTCAAGGGCACTGTTACGGATTGACTTGTGTTCCCACCAAACCATGTTGAAGCCCTAAGTCCCAGAACTGTATCGTGTTGACCTTGTTTTTGGAAATAGGGTCTTTGCAAATGTAAATTGTTAACATGAGATCATACTGGAACAGGTTGGGCCCTAACCCAATGGGATGGTGTTCTTATAAGAGAGAAGATAGTGCAAAGACAGACACAGAGAAAACACCAGAAGACAGAAGCAGAAGTTGAAGTTCTGCTTTCACAAGCTCAAGAATGTCTGGAGCTACCAGAAGCTGGTAGAGGCCAGGAAGGACCCACCCTGAAAACTTCAGAGAGAGCATGGCCCTATAAACACTTTGGTTTGAGACCTCTACTTTCCAGAACTGTGAGAATAAATTTTCTGTTGCTTGCAGTCACCCAGCTGGTGGTACTTTGTTACAACAGCTCTAGGAAACTGGAACAGATATCTCATGGTTGCGGCCCTCCTCTACTTACTCCCCAGATCTGAATTATAACTAAGTCCTATCAGTTTAATTTCCAATAATTTGTTGAATTCATCAACTTTCTTTAACGGGCTTTCAATCTCTTGAAATACAGTCTATTAAATACCTATTGGTTTTTACTTTAAAGAACGTTTTTAGATTCTAAAAAGAGGCTGCTAATGCTGAGCTGTTCCATGGGACCTGGGCGAGAATGACCTCCTATTTTGTCAGTTCTAGAAGTAATGAGATGAATTGGGTGGAGTTGAGGCTTCTGAGTTATTGGCTGCCTAGATTAATACCTTTCTATACACCAGGAGGCCGATGAATTTTCAGAGGTGTTCCCTGATCAGAGTGTCCCCAACCAGAGAAAGGTTTTTAAGATGAGGGATAAGAAATTGGAACTGCGGGGGCACCTGGGTGGCTCAGTTGGTTAAGCCTCTACCTTCAGCTCATGTCATGGTCTCAGGGTCTTGGGATCGAGCCCCACATTGGGCTCTCTGCTCAGCAGGGAGACTGCTTCCCCCTCTCCCTCTGCCTGCTGCTCTGCCTACTTGCGATCTCTGTCAAATAAATAAATAAAACCTTAAAAGAAAAAAAAGAAAGAAATTGGAACTGCAAAGTACATGTCAAGATCCTTTTCTTGAAACTTCAGATTTCACAGAAAAGCCTTAAAAATATTTCCAGGAGCCTACAGACTTCTTCTCTGGCCAGATTAAACTGATAGAGTGATAAGATGTTACCGCTATGAAAGCAACTGAGAAATAAGTAATACTGTGTCTGCTGTCTCATTTAAAACCTACTAAAGAGAAACGCGCAAGCTCTGCTGTAGATCGGCTACTCCATGCCACCCCCGGCTTCGGCACTGTCATTGGCTGGTACTTCACCCATTGAGCAGACGCCTGCATGGAGGATGGCCTCGTCCCATGGGATGACTACCTGTTATGGGACCTGGGTCTTATTTGTTATTAAAGATGTCTCAATTGCCGTTAGTGAAAGAAAGCCTTTCTTCATCTAGCCTGGAGCAGGAATCTAGGAGATAGGGTGTAACCCGTGCAGCAGCGCAACCCCTGATGCACTTAGAGAATCCCTGGGTGTGCGGTCAGACATTACAGGTACAAATCAAATGGCTGAGTGACAAAACGAGCTTCATCCAGAAGTGGGCAGACAAATAAGGCACGTCACCTTTGGAACTGATGACAGAGGGTTTGTCCTAGACCTTGGAGTTTTTCTGCCCTGGAATTGCCTTCCAGGAAGTTTTCTCTGTCCTTGGTTAGAGGAGTAACCAGCAGGAGGTTTGGCCGGCACCTGAGAATGGGTTGGGATTGCGGAGCTGGACAGACAGACGCCCTCGCCGCAGGAGGTCTTGCTGAAGCGCAGGTGGGTCAGAATGGCCTATCCAGAACAAGGCTGGGAAACTGGAGGTCTAGGACAGGGCACGCAGAGTGCTGGGTTAAGGCAGGTCAGAGCAGGGAGACAGAGAGAAGGCAGCTTAGGGCCAGCAAAGTTCTGGTAAGTGCTGTCTGAGGGCCCAGACGTCAGGCTTTCAGGAGGACTCAGACCAAAGGAATCCAGCACCCTGGATAGCACCTTGGCGGCGACCACCGCTAGCACAATGGCTAGTCTACACAATGGACTCTAGGTCATCCAGGTGGCTCTACCTTCTAGATCAGGTAACCTCTGAGCTAGGCTGTGGATCATAATCACCTAGGGGGATGTTTAAAGATACACATTCCAAGGTCCTATACAGAGATTTTGCTTCTCTAACTCTTGAGGTTAGATACTGGAATGTATATTTTTGAAAAGCCCATTTTGAGGAGTAGTCATTTTGATGAGTAATATGGAAACCACTGCTATAGATAGAACTTAATTGGTTGCTAAAAATAGACACGGTTACTGATATCTTCATCCGTATCCCAGTAAGAGCTTTCAGTATCCACAGTGGTTTTAAGAGTCACATCTTCTAGCATGGGTCAGTTGGTTAAGCATGAATGGCAGACTAGTCATAGGTGAATTTCTTCTGCTTTTTATTAGAATTTGTGCTTTGTTTGACTATTTCTTTCAGGCCTAGTGAAAGAGCTATATCTGGTGTCTGCATGTTTCTGAGTTTGCCTGGTCTACCAATTTTTTTAAAATGACGATTTTAAAGTTTATTTAACCCAATGTATCTAAAATGTAATCAGTTCAACATGTAATTAATATCATAAAACTTCTGAGTGAAATATTTAATATTCTTTATTATAGCAATTTTCTTAGAAATCTAGTACATCTTCATTCTAATTAGCCATATTTCAAGTGTTCAATAGTAATATATAACTACTGACTACAATATTGGACAGTACAGTTCTAGACCTTCATCCTCATAAATTTACCGAGTTAACAGTTAAATTTCTTAATAAATGCAAAAGAAGTAATAGTGTTCATCACAGCAAATGCTAATTTACTCTTCTATCTTTGACTAGTTTTAATGGATATGTTAGAAAGATTAGTGTTTCACTTACTGATTTCTTTAACTATAATTATTTTATAGTTCCTTATTATTTTCAGTGACTACTTGGCATTATCTGCCCTGTTGTCAATCCCTCCCAGAGTTACTAGCTTCAATTATTACATTTTGCAGGCAGTAATGGTTATAATTGATTCTTAAGTACCTTCATGAAATTCAAAGACATGGGATGAGCATCTGAGAACTTTTCTTCAAGAGTTTCCTAGAAAACAAAATAAAGAATTTCAGTTTACATGACAACAAAGTTATGTTTATTCTGACTATTTTAGAAATAAGAACACTTTGGAGAAAGACCTCCCCTAGTAGGTTAGATAATTCCTTTTAAGGACTTTTTAAAAAGTTCTATTTTTATATAATTTTACACTATAGTATAAGATTTAAAAGACAAAAACTGGAATTATTTTTTAAATTTCACAATGCCTTACAATTGATGCTTGGTAAATGTGAGCTCCAAGTGTCCCTGAAATCCTACAACAGTACTTTATTTTATTTTATTTTTTAGAGATTTTATTTATTTATTTGATAGAGAGAGAGAGAGAGAGAGAGCAGGGGGAATGACAAGCAGAGGGAGAGGGAGAAGCCGGTTTGGAGTTTTGATTTTGGATACAATGAAGATCATTTTGTAGAATGACTTTCCACTTGAAAATATCCATTACCGAGAAACTGTTTTTATGGACTTGAGCTTTGTTTTATAAGCCAAAAAAATCGAGAATGCATGTTTTCAAAATAAAGACTACAGTAAGTACTGTTAAACAGATAATTACTTCAGGGAAAGGTACTGAGTATTTTGACTAAAAGGATCAAGGTATTTTCGTAAGGAACTAAATATATCTCCACTTCAAATTTAACATTAAGTTAATCCTTGACTAGATAGGGCAAGTAGATTTTTAAAGCATTCTCTTGGTTAATTTATGCTGTTTTATATAACTTCTTTGATCTGTGTCAATGTGCTAGAAGGAAAACAGGAGCCAAAAGTACAGATACTTAAAAAAAAATACCCCTTTAAAGAAAGTTGCAACACAAATAATAAAATATCCAAGAATGAGCAGTTTACCATGTCTTCTGGCTCAGGAATACTGATGCCATGAAAAAACTGGTTACTTTTGAAGATAGATTGATGTCTTGGGATTAGTTTTCCTGCAAAATACAAACCATGTAACTCATGACAAATTTAATAAAAATGAAAGTGTTTAAAAGATTAACTTCTGAAGTCCAGATATACAAGAAATACTAAGCCTGATCATTCCTTCCAGATTTGGGAGGAACAAGTCGCTGCAAAAACGAGGCTCCTCAGGGAAGGGGCGATCCTCCCATGCAACTCTCTTTGCCATGTGTGGCTCTGTCTGCCACTCAGCCCCCGCCAGAAGATGAGGCAAGAAGACCATGCTGAGGGCTTTACAACAGATCTCATAACTATCTCACAGTAGTTGTTATTTTTAATGAGCGAAATGAGGCTTAGAAGTTCAATAACCTGTCTAAAGTCACATGGTCATTAAGGGACAGATGCAGGATTCAAACTCAGGTCTGTCTCATGTCTGCTTAATGTAAATTTCCACAGTCCTTTTCAGCAATCAGTCAAACAATATATACTTAATGTGTGGCCTGTGGTGATCCTCTACCCTACATTTTTCATGCTGTAGAATTCTCAGAAAGAATGTGTTGGAACCAAACAGGGACCAGCATCAGACCAAAGAGCAGGGCTTCCATTGCCCAGGAGTTGGGCTGTCAGGATAGGCTTGGGGCAGGGATTAATAAATACCATCGGGTGTGTAAATGTATCACTTTCCTTGTGTCCATGCTGCTTCGTGTAAAGCTTCAGCCAACCTTCTGGGTCACGTCCTCTTCCAACTGCCCACGGATGCTGACACATGGTGGAAGCTTATGGAAGGGGCCCCTTGAGTCCTATTCCTGCTCTGCATCTAACATTTATATGACTTCAAGCCAATCATGGAAGCTCCCTGAGCCTCAGTTTCCTCACTTGTAACATAGGCGCAATTAAAAATGTTATAATCCTTAATGGGTTTTTCTTAAGACTGGGAGAGATTAAGTGTGTGAAAGTAATTAATAAATTCTTAAGTGCTATACAAAGTAGCAGAGTTGAGAAGTTGCAACAGAGACAGTATAGCCTACAAAACCTAAAATATTTATCATCGGGCCCTTTGTAGAAGGTCTATTGACTCCTGCTCTAGAGTAAAGGGGGGAAAGCCCTCCTTTGCAGTGGGCAGAAATGACATTTGATCAAATATCTCTTCGAGTCTGCTCTATGCACATGACTCTTATCCTTGTCCCTGTCTTAGCCTGACATGGAAAGTAAGTGGATAGTTATTCCAAGGCTAATTGACTTGACTCGAAAAGGCATCTGAGAGCCCCTTGCTGAGCAGAGTCATGACTCCACATGGAGAAAATGGTTGGGTTCTGGCAACAACCCAGCACAAGCAACCGAGTAGCACTTAGGAAGAGCAAGAAGGCTCTTGTTCGGTACAGTGACGTTCTATCTCTCTAACAATTGAGCAGCTCTGTAAGCCATAAAATGCAACACCTACCCAGTGTTCTGATGATCAGATAAAGCTGGTCCACATCTGATTTTCCAGGCCAGAGTGGCTGGCCTGTCAGAAGCTCTGCAAAAACACAGCCAGCGGCCCATACGTCCACGGAGGAACCGTACTGTGTGTCTCCCACAAGAAGTTCCGGAGCTCGGTACCACCGTGTCGCCACGTAATCAGTGTAGGCATCTCCTGGAACTGCAAATGCGTCAGCCAGATCAGGTGGGTCACATTCCTGTGACATGTGGAGCAGGTCAGGCATTCAGGCAAGCTTCAGTAACTCCGAGGCCACAACACTCCTCACTCTGGAGGCAGCAAAGGCCCAACTGCCCGAATACTTCCACTGTGCGCTCAGACCGTCAGCTCAACTCCCAAGGGTCCCTCGGCTTAGTGAACACATGTGTTGGCCCACCCAGAGAGGGGGGCAGGAGTGAGGGTTTCTGTAGTGTAACCTCAGGTTGAAGCCAACTTCCAGGTGCGCAGTGAAGCCCCCTGTGTCTGTCCTGCCAGAGTAGTGGTTGTGTACACCCACCTTGCAGTGGGTTTTTGCCTCCCATACAGTTTTAGATTCAGGGAGGAATAATGATTTGTTCCCTTTTCCCTTTGGTTCCCAACCCCCACCCCCACCAGTGTGGAATGACTTCCTTTATCTTACACTGTCTCTGAAGGCTCTCCAGAATTTTCCGCTTAGTCTTCTAGTCTTACGAACCCCACAGGGTTTTCCTGATGTCTCTGGGACACAGTAATGTCTGCCTCCAGGGAACCACCTCACCCTTGCTTTTGTACTTCACTGTGAACCATCCTGTATTGTGTTTTGTTTCTTTTACTTCAGATTATAAGTGCATGAAGAGCAGAAATGCATCTTATAATTCTTTTCCTTTGTGAGGCAAAGCACATAAACATGACATCTAGTGAATTCTACTGGAATGGAGTGGAGTGGAATTGCAGAGCGCACTAAGGTACTGGGTAAAAGGTAAAAGTGAACTTTTCCTCTTTGAATAATCACAGTGTCACATTTAGCACCTGTTCAATATCTAAAACAAGTAAGAGTTTGTATCATTTCATAATCATCTGAATTGGATGGGTAAGTGAAAAATTCCTACTTACTCAGAATTCGTGCAAACCCAAAGTCACAGATCTTGATTATTCCTTGCTTAGTTATTAGAATATTTTCAGGTTTTACATCTCTGTGAATACACTGTAAGATAATATTTGATTATTTCTCTGGGTCATCAAATTACAAAGATAATAAACATTAAATATTAGTTTAGATGATAAACACAGCTTGTGAGATAAAGATGCTTTTTCTTCATCTTTCTAGAAAAACTTTAATTGGAAAATTTTCACTTGTAAATCTTATCCCACCAAAAGAAAAAAGTCAGAATGCTGCTATATAAGTGAAGGAATTGAAATTCTAATTGTTGGATAAGAAAACTTTTTTTTTTAAGGAGGCCGTGTCATGCAATTATTTCTTCCACATTTTATGGGCTCTACTTAAACTGCAAGAAGTAAAACTCTAGATGAGATTAGACTCAGTGTACCTCTGATAAGAACTGCCACCCAGGAATCCCAATTCAGGTTGAATAAGTATTACAGATTTGAGAAATTGGAAAAACATTTGTATGATAACCAAAAAAGTGCTTAAAAAATCGACTTATAACTAGAGTGACCATATTATTTATTGCTCAAATTGGGATGTGTGAAAGGAGCTCTGCTAGTTAAGTACGCAGGGACAACAGGACCACACCACAACTGTCCTGGGTAAGCTGGGAGGTATGGTCACCTACTGCTCAAGAGATGCTGAGGCTTCCGCATCAGGGGACAAGGACCAGTGCCACTTCCTCAGCAGTGAGCTAAGCTGGGAGCATTAGTAGCTCTCCTGAGAGATGACCGCACAGCGCTGTCGGCCGGGGTCCCTCCTGGGAGAGCAGGACCCCCCCGTGAAGCATTCTCCCCTCACAGAGGCTCCCAGTATTCCTCTGCAGGCAGGGACCTCACAATGTGCTGCACTGCTGTAAAGGCCCTGAATGGAACACGTGCTCCTTGCTGGACGTGCGAGGGCCACGCTGGGGTAAAGCAGGTTGCCTGAGCCTCACTCCTTGTTCTTCCAGAAGTGGCTGCTCCATGGTGTGGAGGCCCTCCAAGAACACAACTCAGGCCCTATTCTTCAGCACTTTATCTTTCCAGTTCTTCCCCCTCCCAGACAAGCAAACCGACAAAACGGATGGTGCTCAGCCCTCATCTAGAGCTCTGTCCTTTCCATAGTCCTTGCGCGTGAATTCCTTCATTCCTGCCACTACCTTGTGACGGCAGGTGGCCACTGATAGGGTCTCTGGATTGAGTGTCACAGTAACTGGCTCCTTTTGCCTCACTCCTCTGTATTCTGTCAGTCCCTTTATATATTCCTGCCACATTGACAATTCTGAAGTAATTTTTCTTTGCTTCTGGGTAGCTATCTGGGAAGAGGAAAGGCTGAGTCCCAAATTCATTTTAGATCACAAAAATGGCAGTGGTAGTAGAAGCTTGTTCCTAGTTAGTCTCACAACTATCTCATAATTTGTATGACCAACAGAAGAAACGTCTAGGCCTCTTTAAAGTCCTAAGGCCTTAGATACTGATTTTTAAAAAATACATCGCTATAGCATAAACCAACATAGTTTTGAGGTTCTGCCTTTTAAGCAACACATTTACGAAACTCAGATTAACACTTCTGAGTCCTAGTGACAATAGTGACAATAGCCGGTGACTTACTAGGAACGGGTTATGTCCCAAGAGAGTTTGCATCAAATTCTAAAATTTCTGGACTACGTGCGCCATTATCAAGGAAATAGACTTAAATCGACACTAGTCTTTTGGCCTATTTAAATACAATTTTTGGATCTAATGCAAATCCATGTGAAATTTTTAGCAATTTATTTTCCACCAAAAAACCCACAAAGTCAAATCAAGTACTGATGTTTCCCAAGGAAACAGAAAAATTACTGGTATAGGTACAGGTAAGAGAAGCTACTGATAGAGGGGAAGAGGATACTGAAGAAAGCAAAAGAGGGCAAAACTGCCTGGAACAGTAGGAAGTCAAGCACGGAGAACGGCAGACGCTTAGTCATACCGCATTTGCTTTCTCTGCTGCCAAGCTGTTCTCAGTGCGCACTCACGGTGCCTCTGGCAATCAGCTTGCTTTCCACCAAAGACCAAAAAACCTGCAAGTCAGTGTGACAGAAGGTTTTTTTTTTTTTTTTTTTTAAATTTTAAAATAACTTGGGTTGCATACACAGCTTTTAGAAAATATTGTTCAAGTTGGGTTATTTTGGCTAATGTGTAATCTCATTTTTAATGGCTCGCAAGTCAACAAGAAGAGGTTGACCCTCAACTTTAAGAAACTCCAGAACTTTCACAAATTGCTTCTTGTACAACCTGATCAAATAATAGTTTTCTTTTCTTTTCTTTTTTAAAGATTTTACTTTTAAAGTAATCTCTACACCCCATGTGGGGCTCGAACTTAATGACCCTAAGATCAGGAATCGCACACTCCAACAACTGAGCCAGCCAGACGCTCCTAAATAATAGTTTTCTATTATCTCAAAAGGTTGTCCTCTTTGAGCTTTAGAGACGGGTACTGATACAGCATGCGGAAAAGGACCTCCTTCTTCACAACCAGAACATTAGTATTAACCAGATAATGATGGATGTTGCAGCCTGATATGCACATCCTGGAAGTCACTGCAATTTTGTCATTTTGAGAGGAAGTTCTTTTTGTCTAATATATCAGGTATACACAAATCCACGAGTTCATAATGACACGAAATGGGTCACTTTAGTTAACTCATTCTAGCAATATTAGAGGGTAAGAAAGAACAAAAAGAAAGAACTGGACTTTCTTAAGTCTAGTGCTTCTCAAATATAATGAGCATATGAATCTCTTGGAGATCTTGTTAAAAGGCAGATTCTGATTCAGATCTAGGGTGGGCCTGAGATTCTGCATTTCTAATGAGCTTCCAGGTGGTCTCTATTAATAAGACCTTATTCCCTTATTACTTTAACCTTCCTTGTCTTGGTTAGGATCACCACTCTGGAGAGAATAAGGTAGTCATGGTCTCCATAGGTTGAAAGCTGTGAATTTTCAGCAACGCCATTGGGACAGATTGCCTTTTCTATTGAGAATATCATGAGGGTTCCTTTAAAAATAAGGAGAGGATAAAGATTTTAGATGTAGTATTGTAACAGCTTTCATCTGACCTAAATTTTTTCCTTTGCATGCGCTTTAGGCTAACCATAGCATAACCAGAGTTCAGAAATAATTCCCATGTTGGAGGAAGGAAGTTCATCTGAAAAATTATCCTTTTTTAATAGAGGTCATGGATTATCAACAGGAGGCTTTAAAACTTAAGATACAGAACCTGTTGTTCTGAGGAGAGAAATGATGGCAGTTGCATTGAGCTCTAATAATGTTTGGGTCTGGTGGGAATAGTAAGTCACAACCAGTAGGTAAGTTGTTTGACTCATTCATTCATTCATCCAGTTATTCAATAAATATTTATTGAGTGAGCACCTTTTATATAAAGAGATCCATACTAGGTGTTGAGGAGATACAAAGAGAAATCAGCACAGACACTGCATTCAAGTGTATAACCCAGTACAGAGGAAAGTGTCTGACTACAGGGATAAAGGACAAACACTTATGGTATACAAAATTTCAAAAAATCATTTTAATTACCCATAAGACTCCTACAAGAACCTGAGGTAAGCTTTAAGACTTCTGATAACATGGTAGAAAGCAACAGAGATGTGGTTTAATTAATTTTTAAAAAGATTTTATTTACTTATTTGAAAGGGAGAGAGAGTGAGAGAGCACAAGCAGCGGAGCAGCAGAGGGAGAGGGAGAAGCAGGCTTTCTGCTGAGTGGGGAGCCCGATGCAGAGCTCAATCCCAGGTCCCCGGGATCATGACCTGAGCTGAAGGCAGGCACTTAACTGACTGAGCCACCCAGGTGCCCTGAGATGTGGTTTTAATTCAGTGTCATCTTTAGTATGTATTTGAAAGCATCTGCATCATGAAAACCAGGCTTATGTATCTTGTAAACAAAATATTTTTTATTTTTATTTTTTTTTAAGTAGGCTCCACGTCCAGCATTGAGCCCAATGCGGGGCTTGAACTAACGACCCTGAGGTTAAGACCTGGGCTGAGATCAAGAATCTGATGTTTAACCGACTGAGCCACCCAGGTGCCCCAGCTCAATACTTTATTAATAGAAAATGTAAGCTTTTGATTGTTCCTAACAAACTCTTCATTGACTTTCTTAAAACTAAGGGAAGCTTCCTCTAAGTATTGAAATTTATTTCCATGATTTTGCATTCTTTTCCAGCAGTCCTAGACTATGATAGACATTCTGCTGGCATCAAAACTGACCATATTGGTATCCTGTATCCCTGCCCAGGTACTGCCTCTCTCTAGGCACCAACTCAAAAGGTCTAGAGTTATTTTTTAAAAACTATCATTACAGCAATGATTCCCCAGAAACCAACTTAAAGAAGCTCCCGTTGGCCCAAGATGGGCAATTTGAACATCAGAGAGAACCATGATTGCAAAGGATTGAAATACATCAAATGTATAAGATCTATAAATTTGTAATGATGCCTACATTCCTCTAAAACCTTCATTGTTCACTCTTGGAGGCTGCTAAGATATGAACTTATCATTCTGAATATTATATTTAACAGTAGCCAGAGTCCATCAGGGTGGGTTCTTCTCCATAGAATTAAAATTAATAAATGCAGAAGAGATAATAGAATTTGAAAATCACCATCTTTTAACCCTAATGAAATACTAGATACAGGCAGTCATCATCAATGAAGGCTAAAGTCATCAAGTACAACGGTTGATCAGGAAATTCATAGTGGAGAGGATCAAACTAATAGCTCTTAAACCCACTACTCTATTTCAAGATGATCAAAAGTGAGACAAGCTGACATATGCCTCATGATGTTGATGCAAGAAGACATGTACAGCATTACATATGAAATATTCTTGTCTGAAAAACTGAACCCGAAATGATCAAGTCTCTAGACACAAGTACTAATTTACTGGAAATACAGGTGAAAGAACAAGTTAAATGACACATACAAAGCAATCAGCTGCAATGATTTCTAGAACACAGTAGTATCCAAAGTGTGTTTCTTGGACCAGCAGCTTCAATATTAACTGGGCAAATGTTAGAAATGCAAATTCTTGGGGCCCTACCCTGGACCTATGGAATCAGAAACTCTGCGGGTGGACCCAGCAAACCGTATCTTAATGAGACCTCCAGGGGTGTTGATGCATGCTCAAGTTTGAGAACTATGGATCTAAAAAACTAATGCTAAATATATATATTTTTTAAAGGATAGAGGAAGGGGCCCTGTTGGAGAATAAAAGACTCAAAAAACATAAAAACAAAATCAAACCAAGTGCCATGGGCGGAAGGAACACTGAGTTCACACAAGCTTCTAATTCATAAGGAATATTTGGTTTTCATGGAAATTGGAAAAAAAAAAAGCCATGGATTATGTTTCCCATATTTTGTGACTTTCTTCCTTTCCCTCCATCTTTAGCTCTTTAAGGCGATCCCTGAGCTATTTAGAAGAAAAGAAGACATTAACAAATATGTTGGAAAATGTTACTTACGTTATGTTTATGACAGAAATTAAGAGCTTGAAGTGTTTGCCATAATACACTTTTGATCACTCCATCAGCAACTCTGGGGGAAAGAAAATTAAAAAGGAAATAAAAACTCCTAAGAAGGGGAGCCAGGAACAGGAGCTGGGGATAGAAATGCAGTGGGTGAGGGCCTGCAGTGGCCAACAAACACGGTGCAAAGGGTGCTGGGGATATTTTTTTTTTGCACGTGTTCATGGAAGTTGGTTTACTGTGTTTTCATTATAGATACATAATTTTCTTTCGTAATTAGAAAATTTTAGATATCTGTAGAAATGGTATATGCTCATCACAAAAATCCAAACAGTCTTGCAAAGTAAAGGAGTAGAAAGTGTTGACTCAGAACTTATTACCCCAAACTTTCTCTTCAGGCAGGCACCTCTGTTTCTTTCCCTCTCTGTGTCTCTCTCTGCATTTATTACTTTTTTTCCTCTGCATTTACTTTTAAACTTCAATTTATTTTTAGAGACGGGGAGAGGGAGAGAGAGCATCTTAAGCAGGCTCCATGCCCAGTACAGAGGCCAGTGTGGGGCTCAATCTCACGACCCTGAGATCATGACCTGAGCCAAAAGAGTCAGATGCTTAACAGATTGAGCCACACAGATGTTCCTTTAATTTTAAATAAATGCATTCATATGGCTCAAAATTTAAAGAGTATAAATTTAAAATTTAAAGAGTATATCCATGAAGAACTGTCTCTCACAGCTGGCTAGTCACACATTTCATTCTCTGCAACTTCCCCCCTCCTCTTTCAGGAAGCATATATATGTGTAGAGGTATAAGTACTAATGCGTTTACGTCTATTTTGTGGTCTCATTACATGGATGTGTCATAATCTACTTAGTTAGTTCCCACTGGTGAGCAATTAGGTTGACTCAATTTCATTCCTAGAAACAAAATATGTATAATCATCCATCTTACTACAGTTGTGCCATTATCTTTTTAAGGCAAGTTCTAGAAGTGGTATTTCTAGGACCAGTGGTAGGCACATGTTGAATTTTGATCCTGCAGATGTGACCTTCAGATAGACCTAAAACCTGGTTTTGCAGGAAGGAAAGCATACTTAAAGACTGACTTCCAGCAATTTGGAAACACACTCGAGTATGTACTGCAGTTGTGTAAGTTTCTTACACCTGGTGAGCAGGCAGGTGCGCAGCCAGGGAGGCCAGGGAGAACCTGTGTCCCATGAGAATGAGAGGCTGGGTGCTTCTTGTCCCTGCAGGATCCTGGAAATACTGGAAGGTATTTTTCACTGGGGAATTGGAGATCTGGGCAATTCACATTTGTCTGGGAGTAGTCTACTTGGTGTCACCATCTCTATAAATTATAGCAATTACATTCCCTTTAACTTTCTCTTGATGCCTTTCCATGGTTCACATCACTGTCCCATAATGGCGCCTTCAGTTGCATATTGCCCACCGGACCTCTGTGCGTTTAAGTCCCTATCTCCTCACTGTCTTGCCGACATCTGGTTTTACCATTGTTGTTCGTCAGACTGTGGTTAAAATAAAAAGATAGCTCATTTTGGTTTTCGTTGACATTTCACTATTAGCGACTTTTGTTTTCACATGATTATTGGACATGACGTGTCTTCTTTTGAGTATTTCGTGTTCATGGTCTTTATGTCTTTCTTGACTGGGGTCTGTTTACCCTTTTTAAAACTGATTCATGAAGACTCATTATATACCAGAGTCTGCATATGTGCTGCACATATTTTTACCCACGCGTTGTTTTTCAACTGTGTTTGTGGGGATGGGGTGGCTGTTTGCATAGTTTCGAAAATCTGAAACACAAGATGTCTTTTGCTAAGTGTCTACTGTAAGAATTTTTTAATTAAAAAGTTTAAAATGATCTAATATTCCAAACATAGCCATCACTCGGCCTTAATGTTTTATCATACTTGGAAATTTAAATCATATGTTTAGATCCCTTTTTAAAAATTAAACTCATCCTGCAGGTGATGCTGGTCTCATAGAGGCGTGGGATGGCCCGTGTGTGACTTGGGCATCGAACCAGATACAAGAGCTCACCGAGGAAATCTGCGGTACTTGCTGAGAAACAACAACAGTATGTGGAAGGATTCTCCTCAGGGCAGTTTTCTGACTTCAGGTCACAGTTATGGTGGCACAGTCCTGATATCCTGTGGTCTGGTGGCAGCCCTCTGACTCCAGCTCTTCTAATTATTAAGTATTACTAATATTGTGAAAGCCCCAAATTCTCAATATTAAATCTCTTTCTGCTAGAAGTGTCTAGAGCCATTTCTATTTCCTGCACTGAAGTCTTTTTTTTTAAGGCTGTTTGTTTTAATTTAATTTATTTATTTGACAGAGAGAGAAAGACAGAGAGCACAAGCAGAGGGAGTGGGAGAGGCAGAGGGAGAAGTAGGCTCCCTACTGAGAAGGGGGCCCAATACGGACTCAAAATCAAGACTTCGGGATCCTGACCTGAGCTGAAGGCAGAGGCTTAATTGACTGAGCCACCCAGGTGCCCCTACCTGAATTCTGATAAACCTGATCTTTCTCCCCTCTTCGCCTAGAGCCATGCCACAGACAACATTGCTTTAATGTTTTTATAAGAAAAAGATGAGTAAAGCCATTTTGAGCCCTATGAGGCAGAGTTCAAATCCCAGCTGTGCTGCTTCCAAGTTTTAGAACCTTGGGTAAGTTATTTGTGCCTGCAGTTTTTCTCATGTGTACAGATGGAACAATGCCACGTAAGTTCATTAAGACTATCTCCTGAGAGTCTGGGTTTTCATATCTCCATAGGTTTAGGAAATGAGGGTGTGAGATCAGGTGAGGCCAGTGGATGGGCCTGAAACCCTCTAGAAGGACGAGAAGACCCCCAGGAGAATGGCAAAAGCCCCGAGGTGAGAAAGAACGGGTATGTGGGAGCAACAGTTAGGAGGCCAGTGTGGCCAAAGCATGAGTGAAGAGGTTGGTGAGGCTGGCAGGGGCCAAGTCATGGAGGGCCTTACAGATCTGGGTAGGTAGTCTAAAGGAAAGTCATTGAAAGGACTCAAGAAGACAAGTGGCAGAATATGGAGAGTGGATTTCTGCACGCTGAGTGGAGACAGGACGATTTATGAGGCAGCTGACTTAACAATGCAGGTGAGATGTGGTGATGTTGGTTAGAGCGGTGGCGGTGGAGGGAAGGGAAATGGATTTCAGGTCTTGCAAGAGCCTGCGAGCGAAACATGAGCCCGATGCACGTGGACATGGAATGCTGGGGGGGATCCAAGCACTGCAGGAACGGGGGGATCAAGTCCTGGAATCAGGAAACGAGTTAGGGTGAAGGTTCAGAGACTGGTGGAACTGAAGTTTCTATGTTAATAACATCGATTTGGACATGAACGAATGCTGTGGCAAAGTCCTGAACTCTTGCTGTCGAAGAGGAACGTTTGCTTCGTGGCATCTCCCGGGATGAGTCACGGCTCTGCTCTGAACAGAAGAGCTCCGATTCCCAGAAGGCAGGTTCCATCACAGGAAACACAACTTCTGTCCAAAATACCGGCTACAAACACATACCACCGATCTCATAAAGAGAAGATAGTTATCGGAGAGAAGACAGATTCACACCGGGCTCATTCCAGAAAGATAGAGGATTGCAACACGTTTCAGCCACAGGCAGCAGGTTTCAAAGTGTTTTGGGGTGAAATAAAAGCTTCAGAAGAAGTCAGCCGCCCCTCGGTGTTCAAGTATTAGACGCTGGGTGAGGGCAGAGACAAATACCGCAAGGAGCAGTGAAGGCCTGAGAGCAAACACTAGATGTCCTGGCACAAGACGAAGGAGGGGGTCACGATGGGGGAATTCAGACCGGACTGCTCAGGGGCTGTGCTCTGTCACTTGGAGGGATTCTGCTGCTGCCATCAGGACTCCTCATCTTTGCCTTAATTCGTTATATGACTTGACCATGGGAAAACCTGATGTCCACTGTCCATACCCCAGACAAAATGAGTCCTCAGTAAACCCTTGCTATCTGAGACTACAAGCCAACCTTGTCTCAGGTCTGCCAGCCCCTTCACGTGGTCACTTGGGTTAACCTCCTTCCCTTCTGTCCCCTCCCGTCTTCCCACAGATACTCCTCCCCAGCCCCACTGGTTTCCGTTCCCTGAGCAGGCCCGGCCTGTTTACGCCTCCAGATCTTTGTGTTTATTATTCCTTCTCCTCCCCTCCCGAGGCATTCTCTAACCCCTCCCTGTGCTTTCCTTCATTTCAGGGCTCAGTTCAGGGACTCTGTCTTGTTCACTAGTGTAGCTCTGGGGTCGAGGGTGGTACCTGGTATCTAGTAGCTACTTCACTAAGCGCGTTTCTCTGGCACTCTCGGAAATTATAAACTAGCACCCTGTCATAAATCCCTTTCTGCTTAAGCCAGTTGGAGTGAATTCTCCTGTGGAATCCTGAACCGTTCAGAATGTGATACCAGAAGTGGATGTGGGCCAGGAACTAAGGCCTTGGGGATTGGGGATTGGCTATCTGAGTTAATCACTAACTACCATTAGGGACTCAACTAGCTGGTAGATGGGCACCCAGAGATGAACTACTTGTTAAATCAGCTGTCATCATCTGGAATAAAATGCCTACTCAAGGCAAGCCTGTCTCTGAACGTGACAGAACAATATGGGAAACATAAATAATACAAGAGAAGTGGGGCGGGTTGGCTCTAACTTAATGACAAATTTAAGAAGGACGGGGTTAGGGCTCTAATATCTTTGCTCAATGCACAGTTAGGAAACCGGAAGTTTCAATGCTTACCGTAACAGAACCCGTTATTGCTTGTATCTATAGGACTCGCTTCATGGACCTATAAGAATAACGTGAAATGACTGAAGAATCAAACACGGAGAATAATCCTTCAGGGTGCTAAGTGACAACACAAATTTAACTTATGTGAGGTTAATTAACTTCTCAGTGAATTAACTGAGAAAGAGCTGCCTATACCTCAAGAATTGAAATGTGACCCTCGGGAGTGTTCATGAAATTGAAAGCACCCCAGCTCCCACCAACCATCCCGTCTCAGGCAAACCAGTCCCCCAACTCGAATGATGAGGCTGGTTTTGCCTTGACGAGAACCTTCTAATGCTCTCACTTGAGTAGCTGTGCCGCACGGGGATTCTTCTCAGACCTTGAGAGGTCTCCAAACCTTAACTAAAGTCACAGTCGAGCGTGTCTCAGGGGGCCTGCTACAAAGTCAAACAGAGGAAAGGGTTTACACGGCAAAAAGAACTCTGAGATGCTGCTAATTTACAATGGGGAATGCCTGTGAGCATGGATTTCACTGATGTAGGACCAGAGAGGAAGAACTAGAGTTTAGCCTGGGCCGATTGTAACACTATGGGCGCACTTCCTAGAGATTCCAGTTTCACCAGACTACCTGGAGCAGCTAGCAATGAGTCGAGCTGATTGCTAAACTGGTGATTGAAACCTGGCTAATGGTTGCCGATGGCAATCGAAGTTGAACGCCAGAAATTCATTAGTAAAATGAGGAGGAGGAGATCCAAAGATCTGAGGCGATATGAGCGTTGGAGAGGATTTTTCGTACGCATCAAGCTCACCTACCTCCCAGCTGTGCCTCCTCAAGGTCCTCATAGCGTCAAGCCCTGCTCTTCCCCAGATGCGTAGTATGGCTTTTGGTTTTCTAGTTTGGTAAAGAAAACGCAGCACAGCAGCCCCTTCCACTGGGCTCTTCCTACCATGGTAGCTTTCATTCCTTGGCCCAGAGCCAGCTGGCTCTTCTTCCATCTGCTGGTGTATCTCTCTCAACTATCCAGTTAGGAAAGGGGGAAATAATCTCAAGGATGGATTTGTGGACCTACTAGGACTACGGTGAGGTGGATTTGAGTCAAGATTTCATTCACCACCACTCTTCCTGCTTCCTGCTCCCCATTACCCCCAAACTGACCTCAGTGGCTTTCAAGGTCATTGGTGACTGGTTTTACCTCAGAGCCTGGCCATCAATTCCTGAAAGATAGGCTATTTTTCTTTTCCCAGCACGCGTTCTGGTGAATGGCTACAGAGTACTTTGGGGCAGGCTAAGAGGAAGAATTAAGTGCAGATGTGTGATGTTATTGCCAGTCCACTCCTCAAGGAAAGCCATCTTCCCTTAAGTCACAAGGCCCAGGTTCTGTGAACTGCCTATTGTGGTGACGCAAGTTAAGCCTCTAGTTACCAGTTTTTATAGAAAAATAGAACCTTAGTGATCTGCCCATCTGTTTTGGTTCGAGAGAACGTATGATCAATTAAACCATTTTGATCATCACTATGGCTCTGTTGCCTGTCACCGCAATTCTTGACATGAAGAACTACCACTTGGCCTCTGTCATCCAGGGATCCCATGATCCCCACTGAAATCAGGAAGCCATTTCAAAGAAAGGATAATCTGGGACGTGCTGCTTGTGCAACCCTCACTAATGTACTTCTCAGTACTCATGATTCACGGCCATCTTTCCACCAAACCACACCCTGTCTTACGGGAAATTTTCTATGAACAGTTAACTGGGAGAGAAATTCAAACCTTTTATATGTCAATTATACCTCAATAAAGCTAAAATTAAGCTGAAGTCTGACTTATGGGTGTGTATAACATGCTCCTATCAGCCAGAAGTGGAGTGGACAGCTGAAGTTTGGTAAACCCGTTAGTTTTATAATGCTATAATTGCTTATAATTGTTTCTTTGTATTTTTGGTTCCTCATTAGATCCTAAGCTTCTTGAAGGAAGGATTATTCCATTATACATAGTGCAATGGGAAGGAAAATCCTTCCTCTGGCAGGGAGGCAGTTTCTGTCACATTGCTAATTAACTTACTCTTTGTACTTACTGTAGAACTCAGAGGGTCTTAGAGAATGGGAATAGGTCATTTTAAGTTTAATCAGGTGATGCCAATTTCGGCTGCTGCACATACATGCAGTTTCTTTCTTGAGCAAGTCCAACGCAGTGTCAGTACTCAGTACTCAAGTGTTGATCTAACAAGTGCTTTTCTTCTTATCCAAAAAGTAGAGGACACCAAAGGTTTCATCGGACAGGTAGCAGTACACTTCCACCATCTTGGTGTTAAATCAGATAATTGAGTCCTCATGTCTCTTGATCTTCAGCTCACCACCCCACAGCTCATCCCACATGTCCTCTAGGTTGATTGTCTCATATCTCACACCAGTGTTTGCTCCAAACTGTGAATTTACCCCCAATAAACAAAGGGCTCAAATAGGGTTGGTACGTATGCAGTCTGGTTGTTTACCTCAGTTTGCTATTCGCAGGGTTTACACTCTCTTGGCTGTTATTCAAGTAGGAAGGGAGTGGAGGCAGGTGGATGTCTTAAATTAATCACTATTATATGGAAGTACCTGGCATTTCATAAAAAAGGGTTGCATGTTCTGCACTCTTCCTAGTTGTATTCCCCTATGTAAATCCAAGTCTCAGGTGGGCCAAAAGCACATGTATACACTTATAAGACTAAAAATACACTTACACACTTTTAAGACTCAAAAAGAGTGAAAAGTGGGTAGTTCAGAGATCCCTGTGGGGGTGCCTGGCTGGCTCAGGTGGAAGAGTGTGAGACTCTTGGTCTCAGGGTCATGGGTTTGAGCCCCATGTTGGGTATAGAGATTACTTAAAAAATAAAACTTAAAAAGAGACAGAGAGGGGAAGAGAGAGAGAGAGAGAGAGAATCCTTGCTGCTAAATACATCCTGAAGGAAAGGTTGTTATTTTTCCAATAGCATTTGCTCACTTTGAATCTCTGTGTTTGGTAATTCTCATATTTCATACTTTTTCATTATTATTGTATTTCATGCTGATCTGCAATCAGTGATTATGACTCGTTGAAAGTTCAGATGATAGCATTTTTAGAGCAATATGATATTTTAAAATTAAGGTATATACTTTTTTTTAGATGTAACGCTATCGTACACTTAATAGACTACCATATAATGTAAACAACTTTTACATGCACTAGGAAACCATAAAATTTGACTCCCTTTATAGCAATATTTGTTTTATTGCAGTGATCTGAAACCAAATCTGCAATATCTCCGAGGTAAGCCTGTACACAAGTTAGCCTTGAAATGTATTATGATTTTTATCTGCAGTTGATATGTTTTCCTAATGTTTTTACTCTAGGTTAATATTTGTTTCCCTCTGAGCACATCCTAAGATGGGAGGCGATAGCCAGAAGATACATCTTGGTAGAAAGAGAGGTGTGCTTCAGATCTGAAATTTGCTACAGTTAATTTCACATATAATGAAATCGAGTAGCCATACAGAGCTTCAGTTTCCAGATTACTTACCCTTTGGGATTTCTTTCCAGCTCGTTTAAAAGTGTGTGATCACAGTATTCAAAAACTAAATGCATTTTCCTTTTTCTTCTGAACACCTCAATGAGGTTCACAAGGTTTGGGTGTTTTAATTGCTGCAAAGGAATTGAAAAAAAGTTCAGTGATTTGTTTTTCCTGATAGTTTTTCCTCAGATCCCTACAGTTTAAACAACAGAAGGCCTTGTTTATCATTCTCTGTGCATCTCTTGTGGATAATTTTATTATGGTTACTCACAAGAGAAACTACTCTTAGTAAGAATCATAGACACTTAAGGTTGAAAAAAAAAAAAAGGAGACATTTTTCTTCTTCTCCTTCTAATGTACCTGTAACAGATGGTAATTAAACTGCTTGAATCTCTCCGGAGATAGCAAGTAAAGCACACAACATATAATATAGGTACTGATACCATAAATACTTTATGGATTTAGTGAAAATTCTAAATATCCAAGTCATAAAGGAACCTGGATAAAAAACTGAGGAGATGGAGTTATTGAGTAAAAGGCTATAAAAAATATCAATCCCCATTTAGCCTGCATATTGCCACGGATTTAATATAAATGTCAAGAGGTTTAAACAGAGTCTGGATTTTAGTGTTGGCTCTCAGAAATACTAGATCCCAACTTCCAAATTTGATTAAATTGCCTATTGAGTCCCTAAAGTATGTTTTTAATTTGTTTATATTTTCAGTTCTGTTCTCTGATTCTGTTGTTTTCTCTTATGCTTAGATTTCTTTTATGTATTAAATTCTATCTCAAGATGAAACATTTCACAGGCAGCCTCTGTTTAATGTTGTAAACCAGAGGAAAAATTCTAATTATGTAAGATAACCCACCATAGAGTATATAATTTACCATCCTATTCGGGTACGGAGTATTAGACAAGACTGTCCTAGGCAAACAGGGATATGGTCACCCTGCCTAAGTCTAGGGTGACCATACAATTTAGCATACAAACCAGGAGGCTTTTGAAAGAGGGTGCTAATTAGACTGGACTCTGGGACAAAAGCTATAAACCAGGATATCTGATCACTCCCACTTATATAGAACTCATCTTTCCTGTTTTTTCCCTGGTGTATTAGATACATCACTTTTCAAACCCTATACTACTTACTCAGGGGGGATATCTATATAGAGGGAACACAATATTTTGCATATAGTGAGAGCTGCATAAATATTTTGCAGGCCCAAGACCGATAGCATCCTTTACTTCAGTATCTGTAAACATGGTGTGAGGGGGAAAAAAATTACCTTGCGACTATGTGCTCAACAGTTTGGGTAAAAGGACTCTATTACATATTAAAAATATGCCTAGAGCACAAAATCGATTTGCCGAGAGCAGAAACGCAAAATGGAGCAAACAGTTCACACAGGTAAGCCAGGGGCTTTGTGCTACACTGAAAACCACACGACGGAAGTGAAACGGTGTCTTTACCAGGAGAGTTCGGGATTCGTAGATGCTAGCTAGCCTGGTCAAATCTGTCTTTGGGTAGATAAGCAATTTGTATCCCCTTTGCAAACGAAATCAACTTAGCCCAGAGAAACAGTGCCTTATATAAGTAAAGCAGGTAATAAGGAGGACAGAAATCAAATCACATTTAAATAAATAATAGGAGGATGTGAGGAAGGTTAGGTAAATTTATCACGGAACGAGTCTGCTCAGGGCCTGCGGCGTGTGACATATCAAAGCTGGCAAGAGGTACGTTAAGAGAACCATCACCAGGCACCAAGCTGAGGTGGAATCTGGCTACTTTTTACCTTAATGTCCATTCTTACATTTGGGCATTGTGACCCGGGAGGTACTCCCTGAGCGTTAACCTTCCTTGCAGTCTTGAAGAGGAGGGAGGTGGTGGATAAAAAGCATTGCTAGTATTGGAAAACAACGCACAGCGAGTTCAGACACACCCTGTAGCTTCTCGCTGGGACAGTTGGCTGGCTAACCAGCGCCCTCTGCCGGCTGTGAGGTAACAGCGGACCGGTTTTCATGATGGATGTGCTCTTGAAAACCCCGTGTATACTAACTTATATTTTAAACTACTATTAGTTTGAGGAAACCTACTGCAAATAATACTTAGAAGGACAGATAATATGATCATTATTATCTTCCCCTAAAAACCGATTTCTGGGGTTTTCCTAAAAAAAGATGACCCACGTCGGAAGTAAATGTCAGCTGTGTGTTCTTGAGGAAATCACACTTTTATTATTTAGAGTGTAGTCTACCAGCACCTTCTTTGCCATTGGGCAGTTTGCTGGAAATGCCATATCTCGGGCTGACCATGGACCTTTGACTCAGAATCTGCGTTTTAGCAAAGTCCCCTGGGGAATTCCCACATTAATTCTCCACATTAATGTTTGAGAAGTGCTGTCTGTGCCTCACTTTCCTCTCTGATAAGATAAGGATGCTGGATGAGAAGCATCCCCAGTTCTTTTATGGGTCTAAACAGAAGAGTTCTAGGATAGGAAAGCATTTACATTGAAGACCTACAAATGTTACAGGTCAAATCCTTTCAGAGTAAAAACAACTTTAGGGGTACCTACTGGGAGGACTCATTCTGTAGAGACTGTGATTTGATCTATGGGTCCTGAGTTCAAGCCTCACATTGGGCATAGAGATTACTTAAAACAAAACAAAACAACACAACTAACAAAATCCTTGTGGAAATGTGTATACATAGATGGGGGAGATACTTAATATGCCTAAGAACCAGTGGAGAGCAGGAAGGACCACTCCATCTCGATGCCTACAGGGGCACCGGTACAGTCCTGTGGGCTCCTGTGCCAGGAGATGTTCTTATAGTTGCGTTTGTGGGGAGAAGGATCTGGGAGGGGGATGGGCAGAGAAAGGCCAAGAAAGGGGACAGGGAGGGCAAACACTGGGCTGAAGGACTTAGGACAGTGAATATTTACCAACCAGAATAGAGGTATTTCAATATCAGAACTGCCAAAGTCCAAAGTAATAATCAATTTATTTTCCATAGTTGCTGATACCAAGAAATTTAAGTCCAATTAGAAAAAAAATCACTTTAAAATTCATTGAAATTGTAATTTTGGCATACATAGGTCTTCCAGTACCATGATGTTATAGATATACAGAGAAAGTCAACCTACCTTCAACATCCGTATTTCTCTTAGTGCTATTTTCTTAACAACTGGATCATCCTCAGATTCCACAAACTTTTTAATAGCTACCACTTGTCCAGAGGTTTTGTTTCTGCACTTGAATACAACCCCATAGGACCCTTCTCCAATCTTGGCTAATTTTTCATACTTTTCCATTATAGTTGACAGGACTTAAATTACTGTATTGATTGACTTGCAACACAATGTTACACCTGGAAAATAAGATGACTCAGCTTAGTCAAGTGATCAAGGACAATGTTCTCCCAGTCTTGTCGTACATGAAACCGATTTACTCAGGGTGCCAAAGGCTTATTTCCATCAATTACTTTTAAATATACTCAAAAAACATTTGAACATTATTTTGGGAATTCAGTCGGCTTTATGTGGTTCTTCCAGCTACTGCAAAGATTTCACATATTTCTTATAATAGGTCTGCATTTACCTCAGCTGAATTAAAGGATTTGTGGAAAGAAACCTTGTCTAGTCTATTTTCATTATCCTCAAGTAAATGATGAAAATATGGTGCTGTAAAATCCAGCTAAGGATCATCTCATACTCTCACATTCAGTGTTTACCTTTTCCCTCCTCACCTCTGGGATTTGGAGAACTAGAAAGACCTGAGAACAAGACACATACAAAGTACTATACTTCCCCCTGGTGGAGAGAAGAAAGAGTGAATGTGGACTGTAGAACAAAGCAGCCATTACAAAGAGTAACATCTTTTTAGCACATCATTTATTGCTCTTAGCTTTTACATGTATGAAAGAACAGATCCTTAAATTTCCCAAAGAAAATAAAAAGCACAAAAGAAGAAGACAGGTTTCTCTAATTTTTCATGAATGCTTTCTTTCATCTAGATTTCCATGGAAATATTTAATTTTTCTGTCCTGCCTCACCCACTCATGAATTATGTGGCGATCAGATTACATATTAAATAACAAATAAGGCCAACATTATTAAATAAATGAGTCTAGGAACTAAAAATACTTAACTAACATTGTCCTATGAAAATTACATCTTATCTGTACAACTATTCTATGAAGCAAGTACTATTTTTTTTTTTTTCATTTTTAAAAGTTTAATCGTTTGACTAGCACAGTAGATATTTGGCAGCCTACTGCTGTTTGAGCATTACATTTGCAGGTGGTAAAGTCCAACCTCTTAACATAGCTCTTTCCCACTAAGGCAGTGAATGGTCATACTCTATAAAAATTAATAATGCCGTCTGTAAGGAGCTCCTTGGTCTTGAAATTTATTTTAACTACATGCCTAATTGTCATTAACCACTGTTACATATCATTTGTTAGATATTGTCCCTGGAAGTTCCCATTCATACCATGCTACAGTCCTAAACACACTGTATTCCCTCCCTACTTCCTTAACTTCAAGAAAAATGGCTTCTCTGACAATGTCAATGAACACTTGTATTCTGAAATTCTCATTTAACTTAGTAGGTTCCTCAGCCATCTGTCCAAAGCATCTTATTTCAATTCCTATTTTAACATTAGATCTTTATTATATTATAACCATTGAAAAGGGTTTAGCAATCCATCTGTCTTCTTTTCTCCTCATTTCCATTACTAGCATTGTCCTTTAGGAACACCTCTGTTGGCAATCCCATCGTGTTGCTTGGTGCTCCCACCTGCCCAAGTGGTAGTAGATAAGCTTATTTGGCAGAGACAACAAAGGGTTGAAAGAGTGAGGCTTCAGAGTTAGGGCTTTCTGAGTTTGAAATCTCTTGTGTTGAATAGGCACATGATCTCGGGCAAAGGTCAAATAATAGCTGAGCCTTAATTTCCTGATTTGCAGAACAGACCTCAGGGCCAGGATTTTAGTGAGGTGAGTGAGGCATTCCCTTCAGGTGCAAAATTGAAGGGAGCATCAAAAACTCTGTAAGCAAGTACTATTTTTATTCAATTATGTGGATGAGAAAATCAAGGCAAAATGAAGCTAAATACGGAGTTCAAACCCAGTCAGTCAGATTCCAGAGATGCCAACTTGAATCATTATGTTATGCTGCCTCTCAGTTAATTCAAAAGAATGCACAATCCGGGTCTTAGTAAAAACAAAATGTCAAGTGAAAGAGTTGACCACTTTTTAAATTTCTCATGTTTCAAATGAGTACCCTTTCCTTTTTTTTTTTCTTTTCCTTCACTAACATCTTTTCCATCTGTAGATTGTCTCAATGAGAAAGAAATCATCTACACTCACTTGCCACCACAGAAATACACAACTGAGAAAAGTGTTTGCCTGGGTAAATGACTATTACTAAACTATTCTACAATGCTATATATATATTTTTGTAGATTTTATTCTCCCTCTTATGAAAGGGAGAAAACGGAAGCATACACACTTTAAAAACATGGAAAATTCATCACAGATTAAGTTCTGAAAACTCTATTAGTTATACTGAATTGTTACATAGATATTATTCTCTTAAATGTATTTAGATACAAACATGCATATATTTGTTCTTTAGCCTAGTTTTAAGTGACAGGGAAGAAAACAGTAGAAACTAGGAATTTGCTTTAGAAAGTTATTGGTATAAATCTTTGTGGATTTATGAATTTAACCAGCTTGATAAGCCCTATGGTTACTGGAATAAACTATGAATATGCCAAAAAGATTAATTATGATATTTAAGTCTGTACTATTTTATTTCCCTGTAGGTAGATGATTTGATCTATTGATCTAAGATTTTCTTTTTTTTCCCCAAGTGGCTTATTAGTGATTGAGTTCTCAGACTAATATTTAGATCTCTCACAGTCCTATCAACCAAACTTCTGAATATGATGAAACAAAGCACCAGAAAATAGTACTTTATCTGGAAACATCTAAATAGTACCTGTTTTCTGAAGCCCTTATATATTCCTGGAAGATGAGTGTGAGCATGCAGGCAGGAATTAGACCAAGGCAGAAATTCCTCAAAGGGATTAATGGATCTAATCGCAGCTTACTAGGGACTCTACCAGAGTAAGAAGCAGTAATTCCTAATATCTTACCTGAGGTACAGACCAACTATCTGTTTGATGACTATCTCTACACAAATAGAATCATCTCAAAATCCATTTGTTTTAAATTGCCTTCTTTCTTATCCTCTACCCCTACTCAAAGTTCTCAAACCTGTTCCACATTATACCTAAATGGCTTGTGAAGATGTATATGGTGGAGAACTTCAAGAGAGCTGAGGATAATGGCAGCTGTCTAAATCAAATCTTTTCACATAGCTTTCTCAAAGCTGTAGAAATCAACCAGAACAATAAAACCAGATAAATGCAATGCTTGCAAAATAACAGGAAGACAGAGGAATTTAAAAACTTAAGTAGAAAAGTAAACTCCAAATTCTGGAAGAGATATCTCTTAAGGTTCCACTATAAGCCTTTGCAAGAGCAGATACAGGAATGGGGTGGGATCTGGAAAAACTGTAAAGAAGAGAGAAGAGGAAACGAAGGGCCCAAGATAGACTTAAAATCATTCCCCCTCCATCCCCTGAAGAGAAAATACATCACAAGTGTAAAAATATTAAGTGTGTCCTGGTAGATCAGAGCATTTGCCACCAGGAAGGGATGTAAAAGTCATGGAAACTGAGGGAGCATCAGTTAGTGGGACACTAATCTTGAACAAGAGGGAAAGGAGAGGCTTATCCGATCTCTGTCAGAGACTTATCCGATCTCTGTCAGAGACTGGATAGGAAAGGAAAGGAAAAAGAAGCAAGAGGGATAAATTTGTGCCACTGCAAGACAAAAGAGAACCCCAAAACTGAAGGACATGCAAATCTCTTTACCACTAAGTTAAAAAAAAAAAAAAAAAAGAGTGCTACTCATTAAAGAAGCTGTACTTTGTTACAGTGACAGAAAGGACTTTCTTAAGCTAGGATTACTGTTAATTATTACAGGACAAAATATGCCTAGGAAATTATAAAATAGAGAAAAGCAGTCTCCAAATAAATCTACTATTAGAAGAAAATAGAAATGAGAATTGGACATTTTCATTGATAAAAATCATTCCAAAAAAACCTAACAATGAAGCAGAAGAAAACTAACACAATACTCCAAACTGATTTAAATATCTTCTAACATTCATTTGGAGATATGAAAAGCCACTTTTTTTTTTAAAGATTTTATTTTTTGAGAGAGAAAGAGGGAGAGAAAGCACAAGTGGCTGGGAAGCAGGGGGAGAGGAAGAATCAGGTTCTGTGGTGCTCAATCCCAGGACCCAGGAATTATGGCCTGAGCTGAAGGCAGAGCTTACCTGACTGAGCCACACAGATGCTCCATGAGAAGCCACTTTGAATCAGAAATTCAAATAAGACTAGAAGTAAACAAAACCAAACCAAAAAAAAAAAAAAGAGAGAGAGAGAGGAAAAAAAGAAAAAGAAAAAAAAAGAGTTGATTGAACTTAGGAAAGAAAGAGAAGAAAAAGACAAAATAAGGGACAAAGGAAGAGACGAAAGATACAAAAGACAGAAGAGACAAAGACAAAGTAAGAAAGTTTAGAGAGAAAGTGGTTGAAATGGAAGACAGGCAAAGAAGACCCGACATATGTATCCAGAGTCTCTGAAGAAAACAAAACAGTGGAACAGAACCAATAGTTGAAACTATAAACTATGAAATTTTTCTGGCAACAAAGTAAGATCAGATTATACATACTGAAAAGGCCCATCAGTAGTTGGGAAAATGGAATCAGAACAATCAACTCAAAGATGTATTTGAATAAAACTATCAAAGAAAATATTCTGTACGCACAAAGACTAAACTGAAATGTAGGAAAATGAGAGTGACATCAAACTTGTCAAGAGAATATACCATGCCACAGAAAAATATAGCAGCCTTTTGAAGAAATTCAAGAGAAAAAAGTGAAAGCCAGGATTTTACATTCAACCAAGCTGTCCTTCAAGTACCAAAGTCATAGATACAGTTTAAATATGCAGGACCTCCAGGAATACTGTATTCATGAACCTTCTCAAAGAATCTACAAGGTGATAACTTTCAACCAAGAGCTGATTGGGAAAACTTCAGGAAGAGATTTACAGTAAGCGTTTAACATACTTCATTGAAGGCTATAGCAAAGGTGAGGACAGGGTGGAAGAATAACATATAAATGTTAGAAATGTTTCTAGATGTTAGAAATGTTATGTTTCTACACTGTTACACACTACTGCTGACTGTAGAAAGTAATGCAATTAAAAATATGTTTAAGAAATGGAGGGGAA